AAAAAAAAAAAAAAAAAAAAAGGGATAACTAAAGCACAGTCACGAAAGCAGTTTGTAATTGCATTTCAAACTGCGTTTTACCAGTTTAGTCAGGGCCCGAGTTTCAATAGCAGTTGAAACTCGGGCTTCCTTTCGGTAGCAGTTCAGTCAGGGCCCTCGTCATTCATTTTTGCGGTGCTCCCCGTGTTCCTTGTTCTGCTTTTTTTGAGAATTGCCCTTGCGATATCCCTCTATCCTGACGGTGGTAGGAGAACCATCAGAATTGAGGGCTTACCTGTCGGGCTGCTCCATCTATTGATGGGGAGCGGCACCTGCTGGAAACCGGGTCCAGCGTCCCATTGATACATCGTGCAGCACTGAGATTGGTGTTTGTTGTTTCCCGGGGCTGTGATTATTTTTGACTCATCCTGGGGCTGTACTCCAAAAAGTGTATGGAACTGCAATCACGGCCAAAGCTTGTTTTGTTTTTGTTCTTTATTTGTGATTCTGACCGTGGTGCTCCCCGGGTTCCTTGTTCTGCCGAAGTACCCTCACTGAGGGCAGTACTCCAAAAAGTGTATCCAACTGCAGTCACGGTCATGTTTTGTTTTTTTGGGGCTTTGGATCTCGTTAGACACTCCTAAAGGAATCCTAAAATGTTTAGGACGAGTCCTAAAGGATTTTTAGGATTTCCTGCGGCGTCGTTACACGCAATCCTAAAATCATCTTTTAGGATTCGTCCTAAAAGGTCTGCCGCGGCCGGTTTTCATATGCGTATACGCAGCCGCGTTGCCGATGTCCATCCATTGCTGGCTGGTGTCTGTGGTACACACTGCGGTGGGCCGTCAGCGAGTGACAACGGGTCGGTGAAAAGTGCATGGCCCGCAGAAAACCTGCGATGTCCGACCACTGACCCGATGGACCGCTTCTGCACCAGCAACTCCGTGTTGACGGTGCCATGCGCGCGACGCAACGAGTCCGTGAAATGCGGGAATCCTAAATTTTTCAGTAGGTCAGGGGCAACTGGAAAATTTAGGACGATTTGCCTGGGGAATCCTAAATCCTTTACGACTCGTCCTAACGCCGTTTTCACATTTTCGATCTCAAAATTGGATTTAGGATTGCATACAACCAAGACGCAATCCAAAAAACAGGCACTTTTTTTTTTTTTTTTTTTTAAGCTGCCTTCTCCTCATCGGGGGACAGCCATATATTTTCCTCTCACCTCACATATCTTTCTTTTAACTGGCGTTCTGCCATGTCATGGAACATATCTTTCTTTTTCACTACCTATCACTACTCCTAAGGCTATACAGGGGACCCCTGCAAGCATAGCTTTCTACCTCTCTTCGGTGAAGGGAGGTTACCTCTCTCGGTCGTTGGAGAGGGGTAAGGGCATGTTTGCCCCTTGCCCTAGCGTTTTAGGGTGCAGGGTTGGGGCCGCCGGTGGGGGCCCGGCTAACACAAGGACTGAGCATTTTGCCGGTAACTGTGCCTCCCTATTCGTCTTCCCCCAACCCCATCGAGTAACAGTAGTGTCTAAAGCCAACACTCTCGCACACACCACACTCAACCCACTCACACACGCACTCACACCTGTGGCTGAAGACCTTACTGATACCGACTGGGAGGATCCAGCTGACTATCTCAGTTGGTTGGCACCAAGAGTGCTACAGGCGGCCATGGGGATTGAACCCACAACGTCCTGAATGCCACTTGCGTGCCTAACCAATTGAGACCCTTT